AAAAAACTCTCCCCAAGCATGCTACATTAAAAGAAACTATAGAACATCACGCAGAGCTTTTAAAGTACATATAGTACATATATTCTGAAATTACAAAATTTTTAACGCATGTATCAGTGGTTTTGTTAATACTAATTGGACTCAACCTTCTGCCGAATTATAAGTAGCTGACAGAGCTGCATGCGCACATGTTCTATACATCAATGCCTCGTCAAGTCGTGGTTATCGCCAGAGACAATACTAATTGGAGTAATTTTTTCCAGAATCACCGTCATAAGTAACCCGTTAAATTGAATACTGTTTCAGCGAATCCTTGGAAAGTCATGTTCAGAAAGTTTTCAAACACGCTGAAAATTGCACAAAATATACCTTCGGATTTTACCGTAAAGTTTTCACTCTTAAACGCAAGCAAGGGAAACTTATGTTTTTTCGGCAGGATATATGATACACCTAACGGGAAAATAACAATTTTCTTAAAGCCGACCTTTGTTTGAGGACGTGCGAGTTCGTGAGAATTTCGTAGAGCGTTCAGGCAGAATTTGTGGTTGGTTTCAACTTCAGTTATGGGATTTATTATTTAATGGTGAAAATGGCAATAATCTTTCATATACCGGAATCTGAAATTATTAGGACTTATTTTCATGTAGTCCGGCTTAGGAGCCACGAAATAAGGTTAAATGATGATATTTATAGATATTTTAGAGTATCATTGTCTATCACATCTGAGGCCTAAAAGTGATAAATTTCATTTTATCAGTTGCATGAATAACTATGAATATTTAGCTACCTAATCTTCGGAGCTATGAAACAAAATGAAAATAAGATTTTTCCTATTGTTTAAAATGTCGAGCCTCGTAGTAGTTGCGAAGTACATCATTGCTCCCCAAGAACAAGTTCGTGGCAACTGCGTATGGTGAAGAGTAAGAATTTGAGATACGTTACCGATGGAATTCAAGATTAAAGGGAAAAATGTCAGTTAATCCTCAGAGCTATGAAGCAAAACAGAATTACAGTTTTTCCTGTTGGCTAGAATGTTGAGGTTAGTAATTTTAGAGTAAACTATTGACCCTCAGGAAAAAAAGGTTTCCCCTCATCAGATGCATAAAAAGAAATGAAATTGCAAAGCAAATCAGGTTAAATTGAGGAATTCTTTCTGATACATTTATTTCAATAAACAAGAGCAGTGAAACTGTGTTATCCATTGATAAGTTAAACTATTTTTAACCTAGGTTCGGGATGTTTCTAACTCACTAGCATATTTTTGCTAAAGAACTCGAGTGGCTTATCACCTGCGAGCGTGGCGACAGAACAAGTGACTCCTCCTTTTTCGTTCATTCGATGTCAGTCACAAAAGATTCTTATCTGGTTCAATAAATTTTCCGACTCCCCTGGAACTATTTTGGATCAAAAGGAAATTGGTCAAATTTTTTGAGGTACTATATTTCAGTTTGGGGTACGGGGCAAAAACTTAAGTTCTGAAAATCAGAGGCGAAGGAATCACTTGCCGCACCAATTAGTAAAGCAATCGTTCGATAAGTCAGTCAGCTATTCTTTCAGTAAGTCCATCATCAATTTTTTCGCTAAAACATGTGATTGTCTTCCCTTTGACATGCGAGCCGGTGGTCTGAATGAAGAGCGTATGAGAGGAAATTGAAAATGAAAAACTATTTTCACCAACACTGAGCATAGGGAATTATAGATAGTCGAACCCGGCTATATTTTAAAAGCGGCCAGTAGGAAGAATAGAGGAGTGCCCACTAAATGCAGGTTTTACATAGAAGGGGTTTCATATACTGCGAAAACGATAGAAAATTCCAAATTCTGTCATAATTGACCCCTTCAAGTACAAATACGCACTTACAAATATAACTAACCTTGCTTCGAAAGATAACACTGGATTTAAATGCGCTTAAGAGATTCTTCTTGGCATTAATTCATTTACACGCTCACTGACGCCACAAATGTGTCATTCAATTTGGATAACATACTAAATATATTTTTCTTGGGTCAAAAATAAATTTTAAGACAGATATTTCTCATACGTTTGCATCAAAAGATATCAGAACATAAAAATGTATCAGTAATCATTATATCTCAGATAATATCCACGGAAACTCAGCACGTTTACCGACGCCACAAATGTGATATTCAATGTGTCTGTTAGCTTTTTCAGTCTAACGAACTAGCACTATCCTATCTTGTTTGATCGTATTTCTAACTCAACAAAAATCTTTGTTTAGTGACTCACTGTGACAACTTAAGAAGCTTATCGGTTTTACAGGTGGAGAGCAAGCGTATCTCGCTATTATGACTACGCGCGAGGTGATTAAAGCAAAGGTGCTTAATTTCAAAATTGCTGGTGTTCAGTTTGGATTAATTCCTTGATTTACCGAAAATAAGTTATTCTGTTTATTGCCTGAAAAATATCTTGTTACCTTTTCTCAGGGGGGTTAAAAGTGTAATATCTTAAATCTTTAGAACAAACTCTATGAACCAATGAAAAGGAGAGTTATCATGAATACTAGCTTTGCTTTAGTGAAAATCCATATGGAAATGGCAAAATACGATATTAACTTTTCTGATAATTGTAGCAAAGTTCTTGTCTATAGTAATCACGATAAACGGGTCGTTTTGTGCAAACTCTCTGCTGCAATTATCCTCTCTTTCTGACTTGAGAGAGCTTCGATCAGCTCTTATTGTTAAGTGTGTCTTCAGAAGTTCCCTTGGTTACACCGCTATCATGTTAAACATTATGACAATGTACCACATGTAGAAAGCTTCATCTTTGCCAATAGTTCAATAGATTCTTCAGTACAGCGCTAGCCGCGTGAACGACCCTTAACCCTTCCAGTGCTAAGATCTCAATATCAATTCTTCTTGGTGTCTGCCATACGATTCTTATAGTTTTATTTTGCAGAATGTTATATGGAATTGGATCAACTTATAATCCCCTGATTGGTATTTTTTCTTTATTCTCATCACCTTTCTGTTTGATGTAGTATCGATATTGCGAGCAGAAATTCTGTGTTGGTCACTTCTGGGAGTTAAAGGAATCATGCCGTTAGACGGCAAAAAAAAATGGCCATTACGCCTAAAAAGTTGAATTTTAACAATTGGTCTTAAAAAATGGCTAATCGTAAAAATTGCTCTTTTTAAGAACGAAGGAAAGAAATTAACGTTAGCCGTAAATTGGCTAAAATTTTAACCGTAAAAAAATTTTAGCCGCAAAGCCATTACAAGAACCTCTTTGAGATCCTCTTAATAGTGCTTGAAGCGACATGTGGGTGGCTCCATTCCATATTTATAGTGGATCGGAAACTGGGCATCTTTATTCTTGCGAAAATTCAAACCCTGAAGGGAAAATACCTAAAGATTAAATCCAGTAAAAGCCACTTTTTTGTCATATCGTCTATATGTTTGCCATTGTGCAGTTGAGCAATAAGCTCATTAACTTTTTTTAAATGTGTCAGTGACCATGGGGTTTTCAAGAGGTCGGTAGTGTTCTCTGTTGTCGAGCTGAACCTGGGCCTCTCGCCAAAAATCAAAATAAGAAATCAGTGTAGGCTTGGAAATCCTCGACAATAGGAGAAGCTCTGCTGGGTTTACCATGGCAACCCTTACGTTAACCAATCAGTCACAGTGATCGAATTTTGTCTTACACCCAAACTATCCGGCCATAGTTTGGGTGTAAGACAAAATTCAATCACTGTGACTGATTGGTTAACGTATCATTTTATGGTGTAAAAGTATCATGTGCTGGAGTCCGTAATTACTCGATCATTTTATGGGTGATCTGACAAACATGTAAAGGTGTAATTTGGACACCGGTCGATCAAACCCAGCCGTCTCCATTGGCTTTTCTTTCGGTTGGACCTTTGATTTTGGGGAAGTATTTTTCAGGGTCTCAGGGCGTGCTTTATGCTTAAGAGCCATTAAGTTTACTCCCTTTGTAATCCGTGTCTGAAATTACCTGAGAGAAGAGAACTATGGTCAGTTCCATCTTTAAAAACGTTGATATCCCGGAAAATGAATTTGCTTGAATCTGCATCATTCTTTGATGAAGCGCTTATTCTAGAGATACCTAAGAGTATAACTGCTCTCAGGGCCCGATCTACCGAGAGTAACGTCTGAATGAGTATTTACTTTCGTCTATACGTGAGGGTAAGAAAGTTCGTCCTACGCACAGACGTTTCAATATTTTGTTTAACTGTGGACATGAATTCGTTGTCCTCTCATTTTAGGTGTTTGGGTTTTTTTTTTTTTTTTTTTTTGCTTTTTATGTCTATTGTCTATACAAATAAGTAAAAGCAATTTTTTTCTTCAAAAGCCTCCGTTTATTGTCGTCCCAAAAGACAGAACTTTTTCTTTAGGCTCCTCTTTTGGTTGTTTTAGTGTTAAAAATAGGTGGACGTGCCCTAAAAGGTATGCGTTTTCAAATGGAAAATCATAGGTGTGGCCTATACCTAAGGCTTAGCACTTTTATGGAGGAGATCGGACAGCGCTCGCTCTAGTAAATATGGCAATGTATGACACTTGTAAGGGAGCCTTGCGTGTTAAAGTCAAAACATCAATAGTTAGCGATTACTCACCGAGGTGTAATTACAAATCCACCACTTTCATCAACACCGAGGTAAATATTTGTTCTACTTTATACCAGTATGAACATTTTCTAATACTCAATCTTGTTATATGTTTACTTCCTTAGGTAAACCTGAAAAAACTAATCACGAGCCTTGTGTTGAAAACATACTTTCTTTATTAATGAAGTAGGGTAGTTGAATTAGACCAATGAAAGGTATCTTTTGACCTATGAATGGTCTACAATAACAAAACAGAAAAATGGCTTTTCAGTCAGTATACTGAGAAAAAGAAGAAAAGAAGTCGACTGGTCTTATTTTCATTTCTGCTGATCTGGGAATGCTTTCCTCTGGTACGGTACTCAACTTACTCCAGTAGATTGCGCGCGAGGTTTTATTATCAAAGTAAAGCCCGTTGAGATTTTACCAGACAGCACAGTTACTATCACTATACCACCAGCCTCCGCCTCTCTTTTCATCACAATCATGAGGATATCTATCCCAGGTACCAAAAACTTGATTCCTGTGAGGACCGAAGGAATCAAAGGTCGCAGTCTCATCTGTTTCAAAACAAAAAAAAAAAAAAACCAAAAAACGAAAAGAATCAGCATTGGGATCATGCTGACGCCTTCGAAGCGTCAAGCTTGATGTTTGTGACAAAACAAACAAACGTACAAACAGACAAAGCAAAACAAAAAAACAAAGCAAACTAAAAACAATCAGAACAAAACTCAATTTAAACTGTGGCTACTTGCTGCTTCGACGAAATAGTTTTCTCTTAGCATTAAAGTCACGAACTTTCAATTGCATATGACGATAACTGATTAACTATTATTCGACGAGGTGGGTAAATTATCCTGATTTGATTAAAAGTGAGCAAGTCGGATGGTTAAACAAACTATGGTATCTTTCTAGAGCTGAGTTCAGTAACTGCATCGTCATTGAACTGCAGACTCCAAAGCAAACTAACGTTTTCAACAGAGAAGCTAGGACTCAACCCCGCGTGAGTAGAATAGTCAGACGGTTAGAGGAACAAACCATTATTCCTATGTTAATATGGAAGGGAAGGGAGGGAGGGAGAGGGGATTCTTAACGGATGAGGAAAATAATAGATAAATCTAAACAATGAAAATTAAAAAATGTTTTACGAACTAGTCTTATTGCCAATGTACAGCTGGTATTTAACCATTTCGTTGCCAATCGCAAACCAGTCATACTCAGCGTGAGCAGTTTTGCCAGTTTTTACTCCCAGATCTACTCGAAGCTTGTTGTTTGTCTTGTTTCGAGTCAGGCGGTTTATTTTGTCCAATCCGAGCCAAAATTCACCGCTAAAGTTACCGAAGCTATATTTGTAGTCATCCCAGGTGCGGTTAAAATCAACAGAGCCATCCATTCTCTTCTGGATCACTGTCCATCCCCCACCAGCTGTCATTTGGTCACAATATACATTAAAGGCGCCTGAACCACCTGGGTCGATTGTGTAAACACCGCTGATCCTTTGACCGGATTTGTACAGCTCAGCACAGTTTTTGGCTGGTAAAAATAATAACGATAATAGTAATAATAGTGATAACTATAATCATTATGATAATAATAAAAATAAATGAAAATGAATAAGAGGTATCGAGACACGTAAGAAAATAGAGACTCATTATTACTTACACGTCTCTGATGTCCTGTTATTTGTTACTTGTTTTGGTACTTCTACTTCCTCTGCTCCTTTCAAGTGGACAGTAGTGTAGTTTTGGAAATTCATCGGGGCTGCACACGTTGATGCTAGAAGTTCAAAAGTCACAGAAAGTGCCAGAAGCAGCAGAGCTGAGCCTGAAGGAAAGAAGTCATTATGCGGTGTGAAGTCACTCAAGCTATGGTATGCTATAAGGCTTAGTTACAGACTTAAATAACCTAGTGACTGGGGGAAAAACTACAAACATGATACACTGAAAGAATAATGACAAAAAGTTCGCAACAACTCAGGATTGGTGGCAAAGAAGGGGGGACGGGGGGGAGAGTCATTAGAATATTACAGAGTCTTCTTGGGGAATCAGGTAAGTGTTATCGAGACACAACTCCTTCGAACCATTTCCCTCCCCCCCCCCTTTTTCCTTCCCGCTAATGACCGACCAACCGATCAATAGGTCAATAGGGGGAGTCTTAAGACTTAAGATCCGTCAGGAAGGACTCCAAAACTGCAATCAACCAATTAGATTGATTTGTTACCGGTCTTTCTAGCTCTAATATGTTCCCATTTTCGGAAAAGGAATTATACCGGGTGTTGTCGTGTGATCAGGTTAAAAAAGAATTTGTCTTTGCTTTTCGAAATCATGACTGAAGACAGTGCACACAAAAAAGTATGGAGGATATATCTCTCAGCTCCTTGAATTCTGATTCTCAGCGTGTTAATCGATTGAAACCTGCTCAAATCTATGTAGGTTGTGCTCATTTTCAGTAAAAAGTAAATGAACTCATGAAATTTGTTCAAACTGCCATAAACACATTATTCTACTCGATTTTATTTTTGCTATTTTGTGTCATACGATTTGTTTGATTTCATAGGTTAAGCCTGGGGATTCTACTTCCGTAAATATTGATTTCCACGAAAATGCATTGATTTTTAGACAAGTAAAGACTTTATCTCGACTTTAAGGGCGATAAACCAGCCAAAAACTCTGCACTAACTGATCTTTTAGGAGGCCATTTAAAAAAAAAAAAAACTAAATGTGGCTGTCGATCATACCACTGACCAGACACTGACTTGCTATTCCAAAGGGACCAGCGAACTTCATACTGAATTTACTCATAACAAGGAAATATTTTCAATGAAAAAATTGAACAAGCCGATCGAGTTTTGAAATTGAATTGTACAGAACTCAGAAAAAAATAAACAAATAGTGTTATGTGCTACCATTAGCATTAAAAGTCAACTGACTGTTCTTTTTACTGCATGAAGCAGATGGTGAAACATTTTGAGACGTACGATGATTTTAGATATATGAAATTCATATATTTGCGATGAGGTAAGAGATGAAATTAAGAGATCCTCGCGGCAGAGAACACTACTGAAACGAGTAGTTGAAAATAGGACCCGAAAGAAATTAAAGTCCGTACGGGATTTAAACCCATGACCTCTGCAATACCGGTGCAGCGCTCTACTAATTGAGCTAACTAGCCAACTGGGAACTGGGTCCAAATAAACCATCCGAGTGATGAATGATGATTTTAGATATATTAAATTCATATATTTGCACTGCGGTGAAGAGATGAAATTAAGAGACCCTCGCAGCTAAGAACACTACTGAAACGAGTAGTTGAAGATAGACGTTTTGAGATTTATTCCTTGCCGCCGATTTTTTTTTAGAGCTCATTCTGGTTACTAAATTAGGAACCGTATGTAAGCCCCACGTACAGTCCTACATTTGAAAAAGTAAGCAACAAATGTTAGCACGTAAGTCTCTACACAATGAAAATTTTATACCGAACATCCAGATTTTACATACTTATTCCTTGTCGTTTGCGTTTTAATTCTTGGGTGTCGTTTGCAACGTTATTCACAACGGCTGCAAAACAAATTTTAAAAATAACAAATAGAAATGAAATAATAATGGCAATAATAATTTGAAAACTTTAAGAAAATGAAGAATCAAAACTCTTCATAAAAAGTATGATGGCAAGGACTGATAGGACTTAACTTATTACCAAGTTCACCTAGACCACTTATTCAGTTTTTTTCTTACCGCACTCTTTCTTGGCGTTCCGTTCAAGAACTGACAAAGTGCGTGCGAATTTTAATTTAAGACATATGCAAAGGAGGCAAAGGGAGATAACCCTCTTTTGTTTCAATTCACGAAAGCTTAGAACTTCCGTTACCACTTAATTAAAAAGAAGTTATATTTCTTATTTTATTGCGAATTTCTGACACAGGGTTTTAGCAAGGCGCACCTTTGTTTTTATAGTTCGTCTCTAGCCAGTCATGTGAGGAGTTCACAAGAACTTGTACGTCTATTATATTACCGGAATCTAACACGGGGTCGGTTCGCCTATTGTCAGGGAATCAGCTAGTCTAACACAATTATCTTAATTTCACCTTGTTTGGAGATTTCCTGTTCAACAGGAATATATCTAACAACCGTCAATATCTTTTTCTGATAAATGTAAATTATGTGCTGACATGCAGATGAAATACTACTAAAAAGACTATCCACACAGGTGAGCGGCACTTAAAGCAATAGCACAAAAGAAGTTCCACTCGAAGTGGTGCCTTCCAGATACTAATTGGGCCCTATTATTAACTAAACGACAGAGCGAGAGGTCGGGAGCGCTCCCAATACCTGGCTTCGAGCAAAACTTACAAAGTGGTCATTACGTAATTGGTCAGGGACCCAAAAGTGATGAATGTTATTTTGTCAGTTGGACCAATAATTCTCAATATCGCACAGCAAAAATATTTCTCCTGATACAGTACTTTACTGAGATGGACGGGAGAAATCGAACCGTTTCATCACTCAAAGTTGACACTTACAAATCTTATTTGTTATCATGCAATTATGGATTACAAACTCTTAAATGTGGATTACAAGCACTGGCTGTGTTTTCACAAGCATTTCTTCAAAAGGCTTAGCGAATGGCTAACGCGAGATCGAAAATTTCGTGAGAACAATTGCTTTTCTGTTCTTCCACTTTGACAATAGTGGGTGTTAAATCTCTCTTGTTCCCTATCAGAGGAAAGGCGCGAATTTGTAACCATCTTTGTGTTGTAATTTTCCGCTGATGTTATGTTCTTATAGGTTCCTATACATTTTATTTCCTCCGTAACTTGTATTTGATAATGTTTTTTGTTTTGTTTTGTTTTTTTTTTTTGTTTTTTGTTTCTTTAACCTTAGCAATTGCAACCGTGTAATCTGAAGTAAATTCGCCTATTGAAACAAATGACGGTTTTTTGGCTATAATTCAAAGGCAAGTTGTGATGAAATCTGGGTTTGGTTTTCTTGATGTCACAAATTACAAAATAGTTGTATTCAATAGAAATTTCCGGAAATTCCACGTAAATATCGAATATAACAGGCTCTCAAGGTCGTCTATTTTCGCGGAAATTTGAAAATTCCGACAATGAATTTAAACCTGTAATTCCATAGGTGTTGTGGAAGACGTGATATAGCTAGCATCGATTCAACTTTTGGAAGTCAATTATACACAAGCGGTAAAAGTGGAAGGAAATCTAATTTCTTTTATCATGGAAAGTACACGCAACATAATCACAGCATGAGTGGGGATGAAACGAGATATTTTCGGCCTGTTTTAAAATACTGTAACTGTAAATAATGAAATGGGGCGTAGTTTTATGTTGCCTTAAGAGCCACTATAGCAGGCCACTTATTATTAAATATTTCCAACTATCGAAAGTAGTCGTTGCAAAATACGTTACTGGCTTACGAATGATCCATTTCCTTCCTTTCCTAGTGTATAATTTATATCTCCTAATGAGAGAGGATTTACACTTTGGGGAACGGTGAAACACAGAAAACACAGAAATACAGCAGGCGGTCCTTTTCATCGCTACCGCGAAATAAGACGAAAGATTACGCATTTTACATCTGAGAAGTTTTCTTCCCACTTAAACTTGGAAATGCAAAGTATCATGCTATATTCAAAAACCTTATACTTCTCCCGCCTTAACTGAAGATTGATTTTGCTTCTCTTAGATTACTCTACCGAAAAAGTAAATATAATTTCATCTGGTGACGTTAGAAAGACGGCCACTGATTGTTGTTAAATCGATTCAATTATCTCGCACAATTAAAACAACAAATGAGTTACAACTAAATTATTTAAACAGCTTGTCTTCACTGATCCGCCATAAAGTAGACGCCATTAGTTATTTGAGGATCTCGTGTTCGATTCTAGAGAGTTGTCTCCTCATTTGATTATTAGCTTTGATAACACGAGGGCACATAACTTGTGAATGTGTCATAGCATACCCAAATTAAATGCACTGAACTGCAAGGACAGTAAGAGAGCCATGCAATCTCATCATCGACAAATCAATCAATTAATAGATCCATATATTGATCAATTATTGAGGTCAGAGTATTTAATTTTATGAACTCGCGTCCGGAGGTATCTTTCACTTGACAGTTAAGGAACAGGACTGACTCTTTCTAGCGGATCAGTTTTACCTGCGTTTAAGATAGCTCGCTAAGATCAGAATCAAATGGATAAGGAAAAATATACAATATGCAGTTATGACAAGAAACAAACCTCTTTTTTCGGTCAGTCGTGGGATAGAAGATATTTTATCGCCAGAGGAAGAGCTAAGGCCTTGTTTGTATCGAAAGTCAGGATAACTTAGATGCTCAATGTTAGGCAGTTGTTGATCAGTCTTAGCAGATTGTTGTTGAACGCATTTCTGCAAAATATATCTTAAGATTCATCTTT